TCTTGTACTCTTCACATCCACAGCTACGAAATGTACAGGATACTTGCTCTTGCACATTGGAGCCAACATTGAACCCACCAAATATCGTGCTCCTGATGGTCTACAATAAGTTTCGCTGTGTCTGATGTTCATCTCCGTTTCGATTGCTTCCCTCCATTTTCCTATATACTTCTGCTCAGTCTGCAGAACTCCTGGGAATACTTCTACGCTGATGGCTGTGACCATCTCATGTTTCTGTTCTAGATTCAATAGTGACTCTAAAGAACCAAACATGCTGTAGAATCCTAGTGCTGTCACCAGATTCACATCGGTTCCTCCATGGCAATCTGCTATCAGTTCCGTTTCCGTTCTTGCTTTCATCACTACATTTCCAAACAATACCGTCAACTGCTTGTGTTGTTTCTCCAGGGTTTTCACACAGTCTAGACTTTCACAAACGTGACCCTCTAGTCCACAGACTTCCGCCAGACAGCTACCAGGTTTGACCCAGTCTTCTGGTCCCCAGCCAGGCAACTCCACTCTATCTTCTCCGTTGCTCTTAGAGGCTGTTATCATCACATTATATATGATGTTGAGGTCACGCAGGTTACAGTCCGCATTCAGTTCCCTCTGTATGTCCTGTGTCGCCCGTAATATTGAGTCAGCGTTGGGACTAGGACACCACGATGGCTTCATCAATTCCCACACTGCCATCAAGCTCGTTCTCAGTAATTCATTTGAGAATCCCAACCCAAATTCCACTCTCTTGTCGGATTTTGGTACTGAAGGTGCAGTCACCTCTTCTTCCAAGACCAATCCCAATTTGGCCTGTGGATTGTTAACGCTCTTAGTCGTCACAATTCTGGACGTCCAGAATCTTAGTAACACCGCCTGCTCATAATCAAAGAAGCAATCACGTATGTCTTCACTCAGGAAAGGATTGTATGCTATCCCTATAATCCCGGACACATAGCTATATGACTTCTTCTTGATCGGTCCACAGTATTCACTGGATTTTGGCAATGCTCCCATAGACTCTTTAGTGAGCCTCAACTCCTTGTTTGAGAATCTCCTGATCTCGTCTATCTTTTTCATGGGTTCCAATTCTTCAGGTTCTTTCATGTTCACCCTCATCGGTTTACTTTGCTGCATATCCAGCATTGCTAGCAAGAACATGGCTTTCGTTTGCTCATCGCCTTCCTTCAACATTTTAACACAAGTGCTTAATGCAGGTACTGAAATCTGCTCTATCAGGAATCGAATGAAACAGAGAGCGTCTCTCCGCTTTGCACACGCTACTGCTGCTCCCTCCTGGACTATCAGATCCCTCAGATTCGTCATAAGGAAAACTTTTTCCTCCTTTGATCTCTTCCTTTCTTCTGAATCATATTCTTCGCGAGTCAGTCCCATCATGCACCAGGCGAGCCTGAGTTGTAATTCCGTCCTTACATAAGGTACTGCCACGAGAGCATGTATTCTTGGCGTAGTCCTCATTTCCTCTTCGAAATACCTCATTACTACTGCTTTCCATGGAAGGCTCACCAACTGCTCGATCGTCTCCGCCTGTATGTCAGACGACGCCAAAGTTCCGTACGCCTTCTGCTTGAGGGTGGTGCCTTGCAACATTGTTTCCAGATAACCCTCCATGGCTTTTTCCTCTTCCAGGGCCATTACATACCCTCTAGCCGAGTTCCGGTATTCCAACATCTCCATGTATCCACCGGTGGGTTCATCTATCGACACTGTCTCAGACACTGTCAGTCTGTTGTATTCCACTGGTGTTAGTTGTCCTGCAACACTTCCCTTTCCATGATTCATGGGAGATGGCTTGAAGTCCCTCATTTTACTCTCTCCACATTAACTGAGTATTTCCATTTCTAAAGTCGCTCCAGTCAGAGTGCGGTCACTCCTTTTGGATTTATAACCGGTTGACTTTATCCCCGCCATGAGAATGGGTGGCACCATCGCTATATCAGTTAATATTCTATCTGTGCCAGACAATTGATAATCACCTTGCCCCAAATCCATGACTTCCTCGACTCGTTTTCTTTTCGCTGAGTTACCAGCTTTCATCGATATTTCCGAATCCACTTTCGTCTTTCCAATCCTCCTCGGCATCACTCTGCTGCCTAACTTCATTTTCATCGCATTGATTTTATCAATCACCATTTTCGATCGCATCGTTCCTCTCCTGGTCCTTGACAGGTACACCACCTCTCCTTCATTGTCCTGCGGTGTCATCTTGATGGGAGAATTCGCTTCACTCTCATCAGTGGCTGAGTCGATCAATAACTCACTCAGTCTCCCTTCACACTCATCAAGCTTGTCAAGTACTTCTCTCATCAAGGGTTGATTGAGACCTGTTTTGAGAATGGACTGGGTCCCATAGCTCTGAATCACAGTCCAGACTTCTTCCATGAACGCCACTCTGTCCAGCTTACATCCCGTCCTACTCTCGTGGTCTCGGTGATGTACTTCCCATTCTTCTTCGGGTAGCGTTCCCAAGAAAGGTACTCTGGCTGAGGCCTCTATTCTTCTCCTCCGAGGTGATTCCATGAGGATTCTCTGATCGTTATTTCTTGTATTGCCAGGAGAGCTGCTCTCCGGCAAATTCCGTTTCATTTCCTCAAAGGCTGACGGAGGTTCCAGTGTCGAGATGCCTTCATCCGCTGGCTCAGTCGTTTCCAACGTGTCTGCATTATTCTCAAGATCACTGAAGATATTAAAATCCAGGCTGGATGTTCCTCCTGTCGATGCCCTGTCGTCTTCCCCACCAGCTTGATCTTGTTGCATGGGTTCTTCCGTCTGACGGTTTCCACCCTGTCCGTCATCTCCTTCTGACTTGTCCCCATTCGAGTTCGATGGTCCTTGTTTGTCATCATCAGCTTCTTCCTGGAATCTCGGTATGAGCAATGTACCGGCTGATTTATCTTCCTCTTCTCCATGGACCACTTTGGTTTCTTCGCAGCCGAAGGGTGCTAGGAAAATTCTCGTCTGCAATATTCCCGCAACTTTCATCTCTTTTCTCACACTGGTCAGGATTACTGAGGCTTCAGGCAATTCAGTCCTGCCTCTCATCCTCATTGGAGCTAAGCCTAGTCCCCTCCATTCCTCATCAAATCCTTCAGGCTTGGGAGTAGCGGCGTTGCTTATTCGCCTTCTCGTCGCTTGATCCGTGTACGCAAATCGTGTGTACTGTAACACGGCGGCATTTCTCCCCACGAAGTATGGATCCATCGTCGCCGAGAAATTCCCTACTCTCCTTTCATTGGTTTCGAATGCTCTCAACCTAGGAGTTTGTACTACGGAGACTGCTCCGAGCAACATCCTTCTTATCAGAGGGAATTCAGGGATTGCTTCGGGTAGCTTCTTGTAATCGCCCCAATCCTTCGTCTCTTCTCTCACCTTGTGATACGCTGCTGTGAGACGAGGCACTCTGGTCATTTCGCCATTCGTTTTGTCATAGGGCCTCAGATTCCAAAGCTTTGGAAACACCTCGATGTGCCCTCTTTCTACTTCTCCCATGCGGTCACAGAAGTGATCGTCAAAATTGATGACTGTCATCTCTGGCTCCGATATTTTCGCAAATAACAGATCTTCACTCATGAGCTCTCGCAATGCGTGCAGCTCACACCAGTTCAGTGTACTACCGTCCACTGCCGATATGAGGTTCAGGTGCAACACCGACCTCCTATATGCTTCCACTTTAACGTCAGGGAACGCAAAGGTGACTGCTGGTCCATAGATCACTGTCACGAACTCCGTGACTCCTCTGATCAGCGCCAAGGGATCGATTCTCATAGCTAAGCTCAAATCTGTTAACAGCGGCATGCCTCCAACATGTCGTCTAACATCTTCCTCTCTTTCAATTGTCTCGTCTTCTCCGGTTCCAAAGCGATTTTGCTGCAAGAGATACTGGATAAGAGTGTGTCTCAGGTCTCTTATTTTGTTCCACGAGTCTGTGGATTTCTTCATATCCAGATTCCTCACTCTCTCTTTCATCTGCTCTGGACAACGTGCCAGTTTCATCAGCCCTCCCAAGTTTCCGTGGGTTATTGCGATCAATGTCAGAAGTCCATCTAGTCGCAGGTTCTGTATTCCATCCGTAAGCAGTATCACCGGTCCTTTCACGAAATTCTCCGCTCCAAATGTCACGAACAGGGCTATTAATTCCACTATCGATACTTTCACTACCGCTTGGAGGAATTCCTTTATCAAGTAGTGCGAGACTTTCGGGTAGACTTTTGCCAAGAAGGACGCGGTCCATCCGGCTCCCAACCCTTCTAGCATGCTGTCTGTCCTTTCAAATCCCTCCTGTCCTTTCACTTCCTGGGTCCAGAAGGTTTCCAGAGTAATCTGACACATTCTGTTCACGAACTCAGCTGTCTTTTCTCCGGCATTTTCCGCCAGGTTCACCTCCTTCAACAAGTAGGCGTATATCTTAGTGATCATTACT